TGGAATGGGGCCAGCTTAGGTTAAGTTGAAGCATGAAGCCAGTCGGATATGCGGTCTGGATCGTCGTCGCTCGCTCGGTCTACGAATAGGGTAAATACCTAGACAGCAGGCAGAAGAACGGCGCAGAGGTTGTTTGATAAACGGACAAGACGTCGTGGGGAAATCGTCCGTTCCAGGCAGACTTCGGTGTTTGAACGAGACGTGGAATCCTGTATCCGTAAGGTACCGTCCAGCCAAAGTGGAGAAACGGAGAGACCTGACGGATTAGATAAGCGTCCAGACCCAAGACGGCCCGGGCTGCTTACGGAATACAGTGAAGTAGAAGTACAAGTACAAGTACAACCACAAGCACAAGCACAAGCAAGTACCCTGCCTGCCGGAAGAGCATGCAGGAGTACCTTACCTACACTACGCAGTACACCCTGCTGGTGAGTAGAGGCACCTTCCTGTTCTTCCTGTCCCAGGCTCTCTCTCTCTCTCTTTCTTTCTCTCCTCACTATGTCCATCTCTGAGAAGGTACATCCCTCATTTACAGGGCGCATAGCAGGCCCAACACGGACACACAACAAGCCCGCTGGAAGTGGAAGCGCAGTGCAGGGCGGGCAGTTGCAGGTGCGTTTGCAGCTCCAGGGCATGGCTGGGTCGAAACAGGGCTCTATCCTGCTGCTGCTGGATGAACTCACGCTTTCCCACTCAGTTGGGACCGGCCGGAACACTAAGTGGAATCATCAGCGACCACTGACGGCGAGATGGACTGCTTTGAGCCCCGATATCCCCGAGGAAGCCCCAAATTACTGCTGGGGGGCCCTCCTTCAGTGGCAGGTAACTCCCTCTAGGTTCTCTTTCCCTGCAGAGAATGGTCAATGGATGGTCCTCCGTGATGCCCTGCGGCGGGTAAGTGTGCACTTCATCCATCTTACCGTACCTACATCCATACATCCATCCACTTACATGATACATACCTCTTTCTCTCCTCCATGACAGGCTCTGCTAGTCATTTCTCCTTTTCCGCTCATCGGATTCCAGTCCGGCAACTGTGCATCCCGCCCCGGTGTCCACCTTCTCTGCAACTCATTGAATCACTAATGGCTGGTTATCCTGACTCTCCCATCTTTTCTCTCCTCCCTCTCCCGAGGCCCTGTACAGAGCACGCATACAGCCCATCATTTTGCCCCCCTCAAGGTGATATGCGCGCATATGATAGTCGCTGCAGAAGCGGGCTCCTGACTGATTGACTGACAGACTGAGGCTCCAGTCTCTGTTGATTACGCACTCTTCTTCTTGGCTCGTTGCAATCTCCTCACATACCCAGCACCTCAAGACGTCAACGCAAACCAGACATCTCCACCAGCATCCTTTCTTGAAGCCACCTGCGCAACACAGAAACGACGTCTGTCTGTCTTTCGCGGTTCGTCACGCCTTAGCGCACTTACTTATCCTGCACTTACAGTCGCCTGTCTCATCCAGGGTCTTGACAGCTCCTGACTCGCCCTGCCATGGCCCATGGTCGCAGCCCTAAGGCAAGCCATGTCTGCCAGCTCATCGGCGTCCAGCCCTCTCAGACCGCATCGCATCGCATTTCGGGCAACAATGGACTTGGGGCCAAGGATGCTTCTTTGCAAGACATCCCGTCGTTGCCCATTGCTTCACTTCCTACCTCAGTGCCTGCCTACCTAAGGCCTGCTTTCCTGCGGCCATCCTCCGTACCTTACTGCACAGTACCACGGCCAAGGTATCCATCCGTAAAGCAGGAGGATGGCATATGATTCTGGCCTTACCTACTGCATAGGTACAGAGCTAAACCGGCACTCTCCACTCCAGCTGCAACTCTGCAGTATCCCACCTTCCCCCTCCAACCCCTCCTTTGAGTCTCTCTTGACTCCTCGACTCCCGTCGCCTGCTTGCTTGCTTGAGTGTGCTTGTCGTCTTCCCCGCCCGCCTCATATCTCTCCCGGCTTCATTCCTGCTTTTTGCCATCTCCTTCTCCGCCTCCGAGGCAGAAAATCGACGATACGAACAGATGACACAGCCGTGACTGAGAGCCAGACGAACAGGGCTTTCCCTTCTCCTTCATTCACCCTTACAAGCCGCACACACCCCTTCTTCTGGCTCCCAAAGTACGGATACTTGGACGCAGGCAGGACAAGGTATGTTTGTGCCGTGTGCCACCTCTGGCGCAAAGCAGAGCACACGGCCCCTGGGTCTATCCAATGATGAGGCGGCATCGACGCCTTCGTTCCTCTCTCCCGGGTCCCCACCAACCCACGTCGTCAGGTTTGACCCGGCAGAGCGGGCGAAGGATTCCTCCCCCTCCCCTCCGACGCCGACGCCCTTGCCCTCTCCCGCTGCCCGCACCACTGATGTGCGCAGCCACCCCACTGACGCTGGACGGTCAGCGACTAGCACAGGAGGTACTTGCAGTGCCCTCGCCCTGTCTTGCTTGCTGTTTCTTTCCTTGCCCAGCCCATCATGTAGTGTGTGTACTATGGTACATACTGCGGTACGGTTTGCGCTGGATCTGGATCCAGGGGCAGCAGGCCCATAGGCACCATGATGAGCCAGTGAGCTCAGCCGCGAACACAGTCCAGGAGCCCTTCTCAGGTCTCTGCACCAATGCCCTCCCACCACATCGCGGACTTGCCTCCGTGATGATCTGCCTGCGCATAGAAATGTTCTAGGACGAAGGGCCATCTCCACAGTGGAAACAACCCACCATCTGACTTCCTCTTCCAGATCAGCAGCAGCAGACACAAAGCCCTCTCGCCATTTTGCTCGTGGAAAGACAGCAGCACTATCAGTTGTGATGCATGTATCCGTCCACATATTCGTACTCTTGCCTGATGACTGGTCTGTCCCATCTATCGAAAAGTGTGATATGGGCAGAAAGATATGGGAGACGCCTCATTAAGCCTCGAGCGCTGGCTGGCTCCCATCCATCTGTAGGTGCTCTCTTGGGCCTGGCGCCATGTACCCGCGCTACCTAGTCCATGGGCAGTCATGTACCTTGACTACCTTACATGCCTACGGTCTACCTAATGACTGAGGAGGTGCTTCTTAAGTTCTTAGGTTCTCGTCCACGCTAGAGAGGGCCACAGCGACCCGTGCAGGACAGGGACTCGGGGGGCATAAGGCACCATGACCTTGCCATTCATTCATTCATCCATCCACATCCCATCCATCTCCATCTCTATCCATGCCTTTCACATTCTGCTGCCCGTCTCCCTTCCCCTTGCTACGCTGACACACATACATAATCAACCCTCTTCACTTATCGTCGCCGCCTCCGCCGTGCTTGTTGTTGTTGTTGTTGTCGTCGTCGTCGTCGATGATCAACGTCCTCATCATCGTCGTCGCAAAACGAACGTCACTGCCCTGCCCCGCGGGGTCAGCCAAAGTTCCCTCCCTCAGCGTGCTGCGCCCCAGCTCTGCGTCGCTTGCGCGCGTTGCCGCTTCGGTCCCCTGTCACCAACGACCGTCGGAATCACCACCTTGCGACACCGTCGCCGAGAGATAGAGACAACTCTTTGAGAGCAAGGCGTCTTCTCCCCGCACAGGTCACCCGCCGAACAGGACGGTTTCTCTCACGCTACAACCTGACCTTCATCCTTTTGTCAGCAACATCTTTTCCAGTATCTTCACCTTCCAGGAGCTGGAGACGAAGACGAAGACGAAGCTTTACTACGTCGGAATCTGGTTCCGCTGCACTTGACAGACAATCGGTCGTCCACAATTACGCCGTACTTGACAGACGCCGACAGCGTTACACAAGCAACCTCACCTCACTCTTACTCCTCGATACCAGACAGTCAAACTTAGATCAGACTCGGACGACTTGCCAGTGTGCTTACCTTGCCTACTACCATTCCTCGCCGTGGCCAGGTCCCCGGTGGTCCCCAATTATCCAGCCGGTACGTATCCTCTGCGACGTTCTTCAACTTTGCTCTACACATCCCTTCCCCAACCCTTGTTCTTCTTGATATCCTTAGTCTTTTATGGTGGTGGTGTGCCTTCACAGCCACCAAGCGGCGGCGGCGACGGCGTCCAGACACCACCATCAGACACAACCACAACCCTTTCATCCTTCATAACATGGGCTAGCCCCCCGTCACGACGCATGCCAGAGATCCCCCAAAGGAAGTTGAATCGAACTCTGATCCGCTTCTTCGAGGCTTCTCTTGGCCGCTCGCGGTCGCGACTCTCTGCCCATCCCGATTAAAGCACTCTGCACTGCCCAGACATCCTCCACCAAATAAACCCTCGCCGTTGTCTCGGGTCCCTCCTTGTCGCCCGCTCCAGTTTATTTTTTCTCTTCATTCTCCCTCCCGTCTTCTCCAAATCTCCAAGACACACGGCGGACACACTTTGTTCTGCGCCCTCCGTCATTCGTTCTCGCCTCCCCTTCCCACCCCTCCAGATCGACGTTTTCGTCCAACTTTTTCCTTATTCAGCCTGTCTCTTACCCACAAGCGGCTCGCCCGCTTCCCGTGCCGCTTCGGGACTTTTATTTTCTGACGGTTGGGATCAGAAGCGCGATTGCCAATCAGGGACGTCATCGCCGGCATTTTGGTCTTGGTGGAGGGGTCCCTGATTTGATTTTTTTCACTCTCTCTACCCCCCTCGACGCCCCCTCCGAACGTTGGGGAGCCAAGACTTGAAATCGCCTCGCATTGCCCTTGCGCATCACAACACCCTTTGCGCCCAACTTTGAACATCGCCGACATACTTGCTCATCCCCGACTCCGAAGCTCGACTCCCTCCCCCCCGGCTTTGAAACCTCATCTGGTTCTACACTCACATGTGTTCGCCGGTCACGCCTCAACTTTGCCTGTAACTATTAGCTCACGATGAACTCGCCTCCGAACTCATATCACCAAGTATCACCTGAACATCTTACAACGCATCCCGCCTCAGCCTTTGGCGACCCATTAGATCACCAGAATCCCGGAAAGAGGCGCAAAGTCGACGGTCCTCCCTCGCCGGAAGACTTTGCCCCTGCAGCCATGTCACCACCCAGCTCAACCGATACTGCCATCACCGTCGGATCTCACAATGACGAAGGGCGCGAAACCGAGAGCTTGTCCGAGAGCGTGCTAGAACACATGTATGAACATAGACTGCGATACCATGCATACCGGGCTGGAAAATACGCCTTTCCCAACGATTTGGTCGAACAGGACCGCGACTTCATGAAGCATCTCATCAGCAACCTTCTTTGCGACAGATGGTATCTGTCACCCGTGGACGACGTATTAGCAAGAGGTGGTGAAGTGCTTGACCTTGGTATGTCTGCGATATCAAATAAGTGGGAGGTGTCAGGGTTGGACGTGCTACCCCCGCTGGCATTTGCTGAACTTCCTCGCTTGGGACGTACCGTGAGATTTGCCATGGCTAGTTCCAAACGACGGGAAGCATCGTTGTGATGTCGGCAGTGGATCAGCACCGTCGCAATCGGCCTCGATTTGAGGTTGTTGACTGACCGTATGGGTTGCAGGTACCGGTCCTGGTCATTGGGTTCTTGAAGGTGAGCATTGTTCGGCTCTTCTGCGCAGGCCTTGTTCATCACGCACGCAGCTGCTGCTGGATATGTGATGCGCCATTATGTTGAAGCATACTGACAAAGTTTGGCACAGTCGCGGAGTGGTTCCCTGACTCAACGTTCCTCGGTATCGACCTGTCACCCATTCAGCCCTCGGAGGTTCCTCCCAACGTTCATTTCATGGTGGATGACTTTGAGCACGAGAACGGATGGGCACTGGACGAAGAGTTTTACGATTTTATCCACCTCCGTCACACACTTCACTCAGTGCGAGATCGCATGGAGCTCATGAATCGAGCTTACCGGTGAGTCATGGCAAATCAACATGATTGTACAACATGCTGAATGCAATTCAGACACCTCAAGCCCGGTGGCTGGTTCGAGATTCAAGAACTCGAGTTCTCCCCCCTCTGTGACGACGGCACAACACCCGAGGGTGATGGCTACGGCTTCCGTGTTTTCACTAATTACTTAGAGGCGGGAATGAGAGCATTGGGATCGGAAATGCACGGTATCCGATACGCCGCCGACGAAATGCGATTGTCGGGTTTCGAAAGCGTCCACGAGGACAGACGAAAGTGTCCGATTGGCGACTGGGCCGCTAAGCCTGAATTACGGGAGGCAGGCGGTTTGATGCGGAGGACAATCGAGGACGGCCTGAAAGGTCTGGCGACACGGCCTTTCAGAGCGCTGCAGTGGACGGAGGTGCAGATCGAAATTTTCCTCATGAACGTGAGGCCACACGTTGCCAACAAGGGATTCCACGCTTACCTCAACCACCGAACTGTATACGGACGGAAGCCGCTGAACGCACCGAGACGAGCCTGAGTCTAACGGACGATGAGAGGATGAAAGATGGTACGAAAGGACGAAGTTTTTGGTGATGGGACATGGCGTGCCCGCGAGGGTGATGCAGAGTCGCGTACTAGGGCTTTCTATCATCTTTTTCCCGGGATTGGACGCTTCCTCTCCCATTCTGTACTTGCTTTGCACACGGGTGTATCAGGGGCATTGCATCAGGGGTCCAGCTGGCGGGCTGGCAACATCATCATCACAAAGGGCACTGCATCGGCCAAGGAGGGAGGTCTCAGCGGAACGGCGGGCGGCGGGCGGCAGCTTCGGCTTTTGCATTCCTTGGATTCAAATCGCAGCGGGGCGATGGTGGAGTTTTTTGATATTTTCTTTTCCCAGCAGAGGTCATGAGATTATGAGGACTATGGCGGCTTATCACGTCTGCATGGCTCGGTCCGAGCTACTACAAGTACTTAACTTTCCAGTACGCCTTGCCGACGCAGAAGTCCTCTCGTACCGGATGGACGATGCCTGGCCGGGCTCGTATGAGGAGGATGGGGTTCATAGGAGAATGCCACACCCAACCTACTCGGTTGATCATGTTCTCCAATCTCGGTCTTCTGATGATCATGACCGTTGCTCTACGCTAGATCGGTGCGGTTCCTAATGTGGACACATGGACCTCGCCCTCGTGATGGCAGCTTCTGACCGCCTGTTAGCTAGCGACCACCGTAGCACAACATGTCATCATCGAAAGCTCACGCCTCGGCCCTACCTCCGATTCGTCCCATGTTATCCCACGCCCCCTAAACCTCGGTGCCTCGGGATGCAAGCCCCCTTATTCAGACGATTAAGGTTTTCAGCCGGACCCGATCGTTCATCGCATGGCTATTTTAGGCCGAACGCATCACCGCGCGCTAGTCCTAACACACAATCGTGCAATCGCCCAAACACAGCAAAAGAGAAGAATGGGCAAAAGATTTGACCAGCCTGGGGGTCGAACCCAGAATCTCCTGATTGCACGATGAATCGTAGTCAGACGCCTTGCCATTGGGCCAACCGGCCGGGTTGTTTTTCCGCAGAAGCGGAAGTGGTGATGGGGACGGGAGGAGGTGGAGTGGGATAACTAGCGCTGGTAGGAAGGGGGACCGGGACCCCCCCTCGTGTGAAAATTCTGCAACGAGGTGGATGGGGCTGGTCATTGGTGTCTGGGTTGAAGTCCAACAAGTTTTGTGTAACTTTGATGAAAGTGTGTTTGCGTTCAGAATCTTGGAGAAGATTAGCGGTAGTTGGACTTATGGGATAGTGATGTGATTTACCCACCTAGGTTGTAGTAGAGGGAACCAGTAGGGATTTGCGTCGACGATCTGTGAACACACATCATATTGGAACTGGGGATTGGTTTCTAAAGCCACCAGATGCAGGTCTCTTCGGTAACTTTGAGTCCCCGCCGGAGGTTTGTCTTCTCCTCAGGCACTGAGCCCTACTTCTGATATCAGGTACGTTGCGACGTTGCGAGGGCACTGAGCCTCGATGAGACAAGCGAGCAGAAAGTGAAAGGGCAGCAGGAGACCTTTGAGTCTCGGAGCATTGTTCCACGCATATCTGGAGTTTGAGAGGTTCAATTGCAGAACACTTCCAAATCGCAGAAACTCAGCCCTGTATGACGTCGAGGGTTGGTTGGTCTGAGTGAGTTATGGACGTAGATGCGTCCAGCTGTAGATACAGCGGTGGAGGCTTCAACGAATGTGTATTTGCTCCAAATCTGAGGGGCGTGACGATGGGCTGTTCCAAGATTCTGTGGGTGGTCTCGGGTTGTGAGTTTCCAAGCGCATGGGTAGGAAGAGTGACGACATTCGCAACACCATGAATGAAAGCTCATTAGAATACACCTGTATGTAGGTTACATGCCTGTGCTACGTCCAACGAGAGGCGAAGTGCCGCAAATAGCAAGGTAATGCATGTAAGTATAGCCAAAAGTCATAATGAAGGGGAAAGACGGATAATGGCAGGTCCTTCTTTGAGGTTCTTCTGTCATAGTAATAAAGTCTCAGCTTGTTGACATGAAATCAGGTAGGGTGATGAGGAAGACCCAGAACCGCTGCCCATTGGCACATTCCGAGAGCATCGGTCCTTAATCATTGCGCCTCGCAGTTCTTAGTTATCAACCATTACTCTTGACGCATCCTCGCAACGGCAGGTTCCACAGAAATGTTGAAGACGGCTAAGACGACCTGTGTATGTTCACTGTTGGCGCCCGCAGGTTTCACAAGCCTTACCGTTGCGGCTTGGTGGTAATGATTCATCAAACCCTCGGTGGACTTACATCAATGCAGCCACGATTGAAGGATTCAAGACGGCATTCCATTTGGTGTGTTTGTGCTTTTTCATGTCACGTTTCCTTAGTGTCAGAAGACTTACCTAAGACGGGTGCAGTTTTGACGGATGGTGTTGGCGTTTTGGGTGAACTTGTGAAGATTCTCCTGCGTGTTGGTGTTGATAATCATCCACTATTGCTGAAGGCTAGTACTATAATCAAGGCCATACTTGCGACGACAGCGTTTGTGAATGCAATGAAATCGTGGATTAGATAAAGCATCGAGAAGATGTACTAATCCCGCAGTAATACTATACAACAGGACAGTTCTGAAATGCAGCTTTACCATGGTCGAAGCTTGGAAAGTCAAAGGCTTTTCAGACATGATTGCCTACGGCAGACAGTGTAGAAGCCATCAATATCTTTCCTTTTCCATTCATCTTGTAGAAGCCCCGTCGCTTACGCGTCAAATGCCAAAGAAGAGCTTTCTTCATTGTAGAGATTTCGTTCCCAAGCAGAACCAGTTGGTGTCAGCTCTCTAGCTCTGTAGCGTTTCCTGCCAGTAATTCTTAGACTTCGCGATAGGTATGGTGTATACCTCATAGGCTTACCACCTTTAAGGTATAAAGTCGTGTAAAATCTCCGAGACAACAAAGTTCAAGGTTCGTAGTCCTACAGCAGGTCAGTAGACAGCTCTGTGAGCATGCGTTGAGGTTGCTCATAGGACCTTCAAGTTCCGCCGCTCTCACTCAGAGACGGTGTCATTGGGAATGATAGATCACAATTCGTGTCAGAGATTCAAGTGCAAATTCAAACACATGATGTGAATGAGGTACACAGCGCGTATGGAGACTCAATATGTGAAATATGTGAAAGAGGCTGTCTACAAGACAGTATGCTCTTGTCTATAGGAAATCAACGGATATCAACTCCGTACGTATTTTATTCGTGATCAGAACATTTGCCATGACCTGTACTCGGGTTCAATCAATTACAGACATTGGAGGCTGTGGCACTCGAGTGAGCATACAGCTTACGGTGGAGTTTCGTTCCGTAACATCTGTATCGGGGGATTCGCAGAGCCCACGCGGCTATTCTAGGTCGTGTGCATTCAGGAGCAGTCTATTCAATAAGCACGATGAAGCTGGCCAGCCTTCACTCTGAACATCACTCTCTAGATTTATTACCGATCATAGTTCCATTTCTGCAGAACTAGAAAGTGCCTTGGGCATGTCTCAGGCCTGTTACGCAACGTCTTTTTAATAAACATCAAATAATTGCGACCATAACTAGCCATTGGTAGCAGTGAAAGCTAACAAGGTAACGAGAGCTTCGAGTTAACAATTTGAGGTACTAAGATAGTTATATTTTCTAGAAGAAAGTCTGTTATCAAATCTCATTCGATATGATAGAGATATTAGCAGAGACATCGAACATACTCAACAGAGGCTGCCTTCACTAATGCAAATTACTCGATATTCACATTATCATATACACCTCGCGTGTACTTGCTGTTGGTCTGGCTTTCGAGCTATAATATGATTCGTGTCGATCGTCAGGACGCACCATAGGTACCTGACTTTCTTTTCTTAAAATCCTTTAGCGCACGACACGTGGTGCTTTCAGCTCATCTTGGCTTTGTGGCAGAGTCGAACGAGCTGGAATCCTACTTCACTAGCTTGTCCTCGTGTAGATGACTGAGTTGATGAGAGCTGATCAAGCTAGGTTTTGAGTTGACTCTCGATCGAGACACAATCCTACGAATAGCACTGCAATCACGGCATTCTAAAATAAAACTCTTCTAATCGCAAAATCGTGACATGTCTGTTGCAAAAGTCATGTATCTATCGGTCACGGCTATGATATGTTGTCTGCTTGATGTGTCGTTGAGTTGTGTGGGACTAGTACCTGAAGCTAGACGTTTTCAGCCAGCCTCCATACCAGCGATCGTGAGCTTGTTCCCGTTGATCGACGCTACGGCCCTGTCTCACAGCTAAACAGCGGTGCTGGGAATTTTCCTTTGACCTCCACGAGATCATGAGGGGCATTGCGAGGCTGTTCGGAAACCCGCATGAGATCCAGTTTTGTTTCTGCCGCTTCCCCTGATTGCATGCAGAATTTCGCAACGTTTTTCTCCTCCATCCCTTTCCAGCTGCGTCAATCAAGAACACCGACTCAGATACCGCCAAGAAATCACTCATACACGCAAGATGCTTACGCAGGCGTGAGCCCATATTCAATAGTGAGCCACCTAGTCAGCGCCGCCTGCTCATGCTTACGAGTAGCTACTTTGAGGTGATGCATCGCGGGTCTCTATTGGCTGCCTTCACCGAATCCTCTGCAGGGTTTAGTGGCGCAGCTCCGTCGACGGGAACGAAACACGCCTCAGGAATTTGAGCCGCGCGGGAAGGAGTCGAAGGATTATTGAAATTACCCGTAAGCAATAAGACGACATCTCATCCTTCGTCGTTCGTCGCTCGCCCATTGCGGAATTGAAGGGGAATAACAACGTCCAAAAAGATAACGACGAGACATCCCGAAAAGGATGTGGTGCCTGCCAAGAACAGCAATCGAGGTGCAAAGACCCCGGTCGGTCGGGTCGCGGCCCAGATACATAGGTAACATCTTCACCTGAGACTCCCGCCCTCACCGTACGGTCATCACAGTGCAGGTGACGAAACAATCAATCATCACTATCGAAGGAAAACGCCCATTGGAT